AAACTACCTCTAGTTTCATCTACGTGTACATCCGTTTATTAAACTATCTCTCCTTTCATCTACGTGTACATCCATTTAATACACTACCTCTCCTTTCATCTATAAAACGAACTATACTTCAATAATCCTATATATTCATTCATTTTTCATCTATCAATTCACGTACTTCTCCCTATTTACAAATTTCTCATTTATTCAACCATCTTTCTGTCTAAATTGCTTTACCTGTACTGTCTTCTTAATCCTCTGGGACGGGCCTGGATACTCATTGGAGTAGATGTCAGTAAGAAACAAGGAATTTATAAGAGTAGACTTTCCCAAGCCCGATTCACCTGGAACACAAGTACAAAATCAAATTAATACAAACCGATTCACTTGGAATACAAATTAAATACTTAATTTACAGACGTTGAGTAAATTATATTAAAACGATTTTGGAGTCTCACCACATGAGTACGGTCCACGTCTATACGTTCGGTCATGCTCTATCTGACGACCGTGCATCTTAATAATAGCCCATTAGCGTAGTCTCCATTGCAAAAGGCTCTTTCAATAAGGCTGTCATGTCCAAAGCATACCATTTCTCCCTTGACATTTTTCCATAATCCATCTAGGATCCGAAGACTCCTAGTGCATCTTTCAATAGTCCTATCGCATTAGGAAACTTGGCCTGAATGAATGCTTTTATGTGGATTAGCATGAATACTCATTTCATTCTCAAACTACTTGAGATGAGACAGTTGAATGAAAGCCTTATTTTTTGGCCTTGTTTCCGTACAAGGCTGGTATTTCTGTGTTGTTCAAGGAGTCCAGAGCATTAGTCTGGTAGTAAGCAGATTCCATTTTGGCCCTTATTTTCATTCTCCTGACCCCCAACTTGCTCCTGGCGCAATATTCAGCGATGATAATAAATTCTTTCGAAAACGTTTCGCTACATTCCATGTACCACTTTTGGAATTTTTTTTCCATGCACTGGTCGGTAGAAAATGGCACGAGTCTTGTTAACATTATCAAAGTACACATGCACTTCGCCATCTACGTACCGTTCAAAGAAGTTTCTACAATTTGACTTCCTTTCCTGGATATGTCGTGGAAACAATTTATGCCACTTTTCCAGATGGAGATCCTTCTTTATTGTATTGTGCACTGTTGCCTGGGGCACATCGACAACTTTTGCCACTGACCTGTCAGTAGATTCTCATTTGTTACAAGACCTCATACTTTGCTTACCAAGGCTGGGATACGACTTGTTATAGGTCTCTTTCTTGATGGTCTTGGTTCTACAAGTTGATACATTTATTTGTTTTCCATTATCATTAAGTACATGAGATCTCGCAGCCTTGAAAATTTTAAACCTCCGACACGAACTCATCTTTATTATCCTAGTGTATTAATATTTTGCGTCGGAAAGAGCAGTTACACGCACTTCCAAAAAGCAATCAATTCTCGGTGGCATATACTACCTACGAAATGTTTCTATACATGCCGACCCACTGCGAATTTATGTCGACCGTGGTTGTCATTTGATTTACTGGTGTGCATATTCAAAATCGTTTTAACATACAGCACAGTCAGCACACTGTGGACAATCTGATTCACCTGTCAAAAATAATTACACTCTTACTTAAAATACTGTTTTTGTCAAACTTGTAAAAATTAATAAAGATACAAGTTAAGATATCACTTTATTAATTTTAAGATTACTTAGGTTTAGAAAACTAACTAATTTATCTAAGTGTTGCCGTAAACAGTTGGTATGTCTTAATAAAAGTTGGCTATTTTATTAATTTTAAGATTACTTAGGTTTAGAAAACTAACTAATTTATCTAAGTGTTGCCGTAAACAGTTGGCATGTCTTAATAAAAGTTGGGTATTTTTTACATAATAACATGGCGAGAAGTAATCCGTTCTCAAGTAACAGTAACTGAAAGTTAAAAGAAGCACTAGCTGATCGTCTAAGATAATGTAAACAGAAGTAAAACATGCCAATCGTGTATTATAAAAACAACCAAACAGGTACATTGTAAAAATGAAAACTTTACTCATCAGGCAGTTGTGTTACTGTAACGAAACCTATTTAACAGAAGAATAAAACCAAGACAACAATTAACCCCCTAAGTAACAAATGCTGTAAAACAAAGTAGCTAGGAAACTACAGAAGCGAAACCGACTCGTCATTGTGGTTGTTCACCTAACAAACTGATCTATATTCAGTTCACACCTCTTGATGATTATGTAAACATTATAAGATCCTTCCTTCATGTTCGATGATGTCAGTAACATTAACGTACGTCCTCAATAATGTAAAGTTTGTCACGTTCACACACACGTCTTCAATAATATAATACAGAAAAACATTAGTAACAATAATACATACATGTTAACAATGTAAAGTTTGTCACGTACACACACGTCTTCAATAATATAATACAGGAAAACATTAGTAACAATAATACATACACGTTATTAACAATGTAAAGTTTGTCACGTACACACACGTCTTCAATAATACAATACAGGAAAACATTAGTAACAATAATACATACATGTTAACAATGTAAAGTTTGTCACGTACACACACGTCTTCAATAATATAATACAGGAAAACATTAGTAACAATAATACATACATGTTAACAATGTAAAGTTTGTCACGTACACACACGTCTTCAATAATATAATACAGGAAAACATTAGTAACAATAATGCATACATGTTAACAATGTAAAGTTTGTCACGTACACACACACACGTCTTCAATAATGTAATACAGGAAAACAGTCATAAATACACTTTATTAACAATGTAAAGTTTGTCACGTACACACACGTCTTCAATAATGTCAAATAGGATAACGCTAGTCTCAATAATACATACATGTCTTCGATAAAATGATACAGAAATCAGTAACTCGTCGTTAATCTATTGAATAGAAGTTATGCATAAAAAGCACGTAAAACAGAGCACCTTAACGTACGTAAAGAGTTATCACTTCTGGCATAATATAACAGTGCACAAAACTAAAATAACTCAATACTAAAAACTTGGAACATTAAATATTATGCATGTGTAATACTGATTTCTTTATATACGTATGTGTGCGTGTGCAGCACAAGTATAAACCACGCCTACTGGAACATTTTTATCCCAGTTTCTGGTTATAAATCATCACGTTTCTTTAAACCGTGTTAAACAACTGTTGAAATACGATGGTAACCATCTGTTCTGATGACCTGTTAGTTAACCGAAACCGTGGTAGACCTTTGGTAAAAAGAACATTGTCGCTTGCTCTCTCGATATTAAACAAACATTCAACACAATATGGCACAATGGTCTAAGATTCTGTTTCAGCTCACAATTCGCAACAACAAAAAATCTAATACTATAAAACACAGTATGTGTATCTGTCTGTCTCTCGGTCACAATGATGTCATAGCAACTTATTCCGTAATTCATGTAGTTTGGCTGCCTGTCAATTAGAAGCGAGTAATCTACGACTGATCGAAAATTAAAGATATATTTGGACTAAAATTTGGACCTTTTTCGCAATTTGAAAACCTATCTTTGTTAAATCGTCGAATTAGGCCAGAAAGGACGTAAATATACTTTAGTAGATATTTTATACAACATATTAAAAGCTTATTTATTGATAGTGTTGCGTCAGCGAGGTCACGTGACTAGTGTCACGCCCCCTGCTTTCTGGAAATATTTGTACCTTCGTGAATTGTCGGGAGATTACTAGATATAGGGTAGTCTGGTATATATAAGAGGGCGACAACGTGACGAAAGAATAATGTG